AAAAAAAAATTTCAAATAAACAATTGAAAAAGCCTCTAGCCAGGGGCGAAACGTCTTGATACTTAATTGAAAAACTTTTCCATTTTCAAAGAGAATTCAAAACCCAAGAACAACGAAACATTTATATATGTAGTTAGAACTTGATATTGCGATTTTATTTGTGGTTGTAGTAATATAGACGTTTATTATTATTATTGTTAAATTATATAAATCACGTATCAACCGAATGTATGACACTATTCAGAAACAATGTTTTTTTTTCACATTTCAGTTGTTAGAAGTCTTTGTGATCCTTATTTCTGCAGTTTAAATTGCCTAAGGAAAAGAAAAAACTTTGTAAGCTGTAATGGATCTAAATGCATCTGCGAAGGTTCAATACATTGAGCGATATCCCTTGTTGAATGTATTTGAAAAATAATTTTCATGTTCTTTTTGTGTGTTATATTTTTTTTGAGTAAAGATTCATTTCGTGTTTTTTTTTCTATTATTTGCTCCGTAGTAATCCTTCCGAAAAGTTTGATGGAAACGACGAGTTGAACAGTTCTATTCTATTTTGGCAGAAGATAATATTTCTTGTTTCCATACATGAAGAAAATTGTGGATCTGATAATTTCGTGAAATATTATTGATTGCATTTTTTAAATCAGAAAATCATTAATTTTCTTAGAGAATATGTACTGTTAATATTTTTGAATTATTTTTAGTAGCAAATGTATGTTTAACACCTAAAAAATTTCATCATATATAATCAGTCTCGCATAATAATAGTGATGAACAATTTCTTATAACTTTCATAAGAACATTCATGCACCTGTCTTCACTTTCCAGTAAAAGACTTCTTCTGTTTCATTATTTTCTTATTCTTGTATTGAATTCATTGAAATTCAGCCCTGGAATGAATCATAACTGTTCATAACCCTCGATACCTTCAACAACTATAAATTACTTGTGATGCACTGTTTGAAACCTTTGGTGTAGTAATTGATATTACTGGGGTTTTCTCCCAACACCAAACCGTTATTCTAACACCTCGACACGTGTTTCGATCACCAAGTGATCATCTTCGAGAGAAAGACGAAACTGTTTGATGAAACAACGAAGAGATTACTCATGTCACAGCTATGGCTCAGGCGGTACAACCGTGAAAAGACCACTATGAAAAATGAATTTTCCGTTATTCTATCCCAATGTTAGCTCGTCAAAGCTACTACATAGAAGTGGCATAGAGAGAAGACTAAATTTCAAATTCAGTAATGAAACCGAAAATCATAATTACAATACGATTCAATTTATCTATCTTGACACTGAAGATATGGATAACCCATAAACTGTTAAGTTAGGTCCAAAGTGATTGGACCGCAACCCGCATGGGTTTATTGTGGTCTAAATACATTATCAGAAAAAACCAATATTCGTCAGACATCGAACAATTCCAGCACACAGTTCAAAATATAACTGTGAAATATAAGAACTTCTGCCATAACATAAGGTCCCAGGAAGCATTCATTATTTTTACTGTTATATTCATCATCAGATGATACGTAATTATAATTATTTTTCTATGAAGTGCTATCTACGTTCTGTTGTGTTGTGAACATAGACCTGAACTGTTGAAAACTACATTATTTGAACCTAATTTCAGATCGATCTACTATTTCAATTTTCGAAGGTGGATTGAAACTTCAAACCTGATAGTGAAACCGTAAATCCAACTCTATCATTAGTGCTCCATCTATCCTGGTCCTTTTACAGACAGACAGACAGATCTAGTAGTAAACCGTTCAGTGAAACTGCAAATATCACCCAAGCATTAGTGCTTCCTCTATCTTTGTCTTTCCAGTGAATACTACAGTACACAGAATGAGACACAGCCGATGAAAAAAATCTAAACGGTGCACAAACAAATGGACTGTGTAAGAGAGAGAGAAAGTATTTGAAAAAATGCAAAATTTTTATGAGAGTCGCGCTTCGACAAGACTGAGATATTCGAATGAAAATGTTGCCTCAAACAAATTTTGAAATTACGCACTTTTTTTGCGAAATTATCCTTGACTGAAATTATTTTTATAAGCTCAAATCAACAGTATTATGAAAACTATGGAGGTTCATCACTATTTAACTGATAAGAAATATATTTATGGTACAAGTGAGATTTCACAAATAATTACATTGCAGGTATTGATAAATGATTTAAATTCAATTGAGATTTGAAGTATTTCAACAAAAAAAAATGGAAGGTATTGAATTTCTTTCGTTTATTAACTTGAAAATATTTGCGAATAGATTCGAAATTTGAAAAAAAATGAGAAAGAGACTGAAAACACATGAAATCATTCAGAAATTGTTTACTCGAGTAACTATATAAAATACACAACATTTGCACCTGTACTCCATTCTATTGTTGAACGATAAAGGTACTTGAAATGAAAAACTTACTCTATTTGACAATTTTTGCTGCCTTCGTGGTGATGATAATGTCTCATCATCATCACACCACAAAAAGTGATGAAGAGCTTAAGAGTACAAAGAAGAAGGAACCACTTCCAAATCCTGACGGAGAAAACACAGGCGAGGAGGAGATAAACATCCAAATACCTGGTAAGTAACTAAAAGTTTGCGAGGTATGTAACAAAAACGTACTCTAACGATTTCGAAACTCGGTGCAGTATATATCGAAAAATAAACCTTTTCATTTTCATTTTGTTCCACTCCGAATGAGTTTCAAAACAGAGCAATATTATTTATATTAAGATATACCTATCGTATTCACCAAGGATTACTTTGTGTATTATTAGAAATTCTACTTATTTTTCCGACATTCTGTTTGTATATTGTTAACTAAATGAATAATTAGATAACCTCGAAATTGCTTTATCAGCCAACTGAACTGTAATAACTGGTTTTGTTCTTGTTGAAATAAATTGATTGATGAATTGATTGTATATGTATATGGTAATTGATTTGTCGACAACACGTATACACTTTAATCCTTTATTATTTACAATCATTATTTTATTTCATTGTTCCACGACATGCATATCTTTTTGTGGATTATCACTCATGTTTATTCATTTATATTTCATTTCATGATATAATACTATGTAAATTATGTACAAAAATATCATCAAAACCTTTTATCCATCTGCTTAAATTATTATGCAGTATATAATTGACTCTGTCATTTATTCTAGTGAATAAATATATTATTATTATTATGATTATAATTCATGGTTGAATATACTTCATTCTCAGTCCTCAGGAATCTTTTCATAGTTCCCAAAATTCCCAATAAATATCATCTATTTTTGAAGTTACCCCAAGAATATTGTAGAAAGCACCCCATTTCACAGACTTTCCCGTTTTTCTTTCCTAGTCAACTGTGAAAAACCCAAAATTTATATTCCAGGTAACATGAACAGAAAAGATTGCTCCTTCACTTTTTGAATAATCGTAGAATCTGTTGGGAATATATCTGAATGGTATTCTTCAATTTGGATGAAACCTCATGGGCATGTCATATAACTATGACATTTCAATAATGTAGCTTCTCATTGAATTAAAATTCATAGTTAACTTGATAATTGATGACCTCTGTTCTCAAGTCGACAAAATGATCTATATTTCTCCCTTATAAGTAGTTTTGAATGAACTATCGAATGGATCATCGCCTCAAAATGTTCTAAACCTCCATTCTATCAAATTACAGATGTTGAAGGATCTTGCAGCGGTTATCAATGTGCAAACTTCTGCAAAAAGTCTGGGTACTCATACGGATACTGTTCAGGAAATTCATGCCGCTGCTACTGATCATAAATTGAAAAAAAAAGATCAATAAATATATGAAATTTGGAAAAACATGTTTTAGTTTGATTTAACCTAGGTCAATCCGACAAACGTTTCGAAAATTTGTGAACCACCGCCAGAAGGTTACTCAAAACTGTTACGCTTATATAATTGTATTTTTTTTCAAATGAGTGCCATACAACTCCATTAAATAGTACAATACTAGCTTGTTTCTCATGTTCTCGCTCAATTGCCTGACTCTCATATGATTGCTCCATGCATCCGCCAATTTTACAAATCATATACAAATCATATAACAATACAAAGACCATATAAACATAGTAAAGTAATTTTGAACCACTGTGTGGAACCTTTGGTCTAGTAATGGATATCACTGACCAGCTATCTCACAGGCCGATCACAGAGGATCAAACTGGATGATCTCAGGTGTATCGCACGGAAGTATTTTAGGAACTTAATTAAACGAAACTTGGTAATAGAAGGTTCTTGAGGTATCGAATTCGAACCTGATGTTCTTATTGCTCTTACTCATAGGGGGCGCCACCTACACGTCTTTCTCTCTTTTAAAGATTCATAACTTTTTTGGGCGTACATCTAGCACATTTTTCACTAAAAAAATCAATTCCTCTATCATATCTACGTGAATAAGCTATCCTTGTTACTAGTCGCTGTGAGCAACCATTTTCTAAATATTTGGACTTGAAAACTTCAAGTCGATTATTTGATAATCGATGCATGTTGAAGTTATTCCGAATATTTTGCTTTTTTCACAAGAATGCTTTGGAAATAAATTTGGCGTTTTACTCGTTTGAAGAGGTCATTACTGTTGGGTACGTTCCTTTATGACATCCTTAAGCGAAATAGTTATTTTTGTATCAAGGGTGCATAATCAGTATTTGTTTTAATAAAATTTGCGAGAAATGTCAACATTTTATTTCAGGAAAATTTTAATATGTAGAATAAAATAAAATAAACGAAACTATATTGTAATCAAATAAATTGTTGGAAGTGTCCACCTTCAGCGAAGATACAGACAGTCAGTCGTCTAGTCATTGAATCTCGTACCCGTTCAAAAATTATTGGTGTGTTTCTTATTGTTTCACAGGCGTCTACTATTCGGTTTTTTAGATCTTCCTCGTTCACTACTGGAGTCTTATAAACTAGTTACTTCAAATGTCCCCAAAAATAAAAATATATCGGGTTTAGATCTGGGGACCTTGGTGCCCACGCCTGGTTAGGTTCTTCTACACCCCTACCGATCCATCGATTTGGATAGACTGTGTTAAGGAATTCCCTGGCTAAAACGCTAAAATGGGCCGGAGCCCCATCATGCATAAACCACATGCGGATACGAATTTCTAATGGTACATTCTGAAGTAGTCCCGAAATTTATTTTCTAAAAAGTGTCTGAAAGTTGCGCCATTCAGTCGGAGCGGAAGAAAGAGAGGACCTATCAAGTAATTATCAATTATTGCCGCCCAAACATTTACAGAAAACTGATACTGATAATGCCTTTCACTAACTGCGTGCGGATTTTCGAGAGCCCAAACATGGTTGTTATGAAAGTTTGTGATAGCATTTCGGGAGAAGTTTGCCTCGTCCGTGAAGAGTACATATCTTAAATATTGAGGATTTCCAGCCAATAAAACTGTTGATCGTGGATAATTCTCCAAACTGTGGACTGAGTAGAATTGACAGCTTCAGCAATTACTCTTGTGCTTGTTTCTGGATTCTCCTCGAGAGCGTTCAAAACAACTTCTTCCAATTCTGGGGTTCGGACTGCTCGTGGTCTTCCAATAATATCAGCTGCCCTCTTAAAGCTACCTGTTTCTGCCAAACGACGGTGGAGACTAGCAAATGTTGGAGCTGAAGGCAGTACTCGATTAGGAAATCGCTCCTGGTAAATACGTCTTGCTTCGCGCGCATTGCCATCCGCAAGGCCATAAACGAAATGCATATCGGCTAAATGAGCATTATTGTTTGAATAATCCATTTTTTCAAAATAAGTGTTTTCTACTTCTACTTACGGAAACTACAACAAAACGTCTGTCACAAAATATATAATAAGCAAAACTACTCACAAACGTCAAATTTATTTCCAAAGCATTCTTGTGGAAAATGCAAAATATTTGTAGTAACTTCAACATGCATCGATTATCAAATAATCGACTTGAAGTTTTCAAGTCCAAATATTTATAAAACGGTTGCTTACAGCGTCTAGTAACAAGGGTAGCTTATTTACGTAGATATGATGGAGGAATCGATTTTCTTACTGAAAAATGTGCTAGAAGTACGCCCAAAAAAGTTATGAATCTTTAAAAGAGAAAAAGACGTGTAGGTGGCGCCCCCTATGAGTAAGAGCAATAAGAACATCAGGTTCGAATTCGACACCTCAAAAACATTCTATTACCAAGTTTCGTTTAATTTAGTTCAGTATTTCAAAAGTTATTTGAACAAAACGAAAATAAAAATAAAAGTTCAACATCCTGTATCTTGGAAACGAAGCGTTTCCGGACATTTATTTATTTGGACAATTCATATTAGAATATTCTGAGGAATCACCTCCTGAAGTTTGTCAAAGTACTTTTGAATCACCCTGTGTAGTTTATTAAGCAGGCATTCTGACATACATATGGACAATTTGAGAATTAACTCATTCAACTTACCTAGGCACCGTACTTTCAAATTTCAAGGATGTTTTTCTTAAATAGCCCCTTCTTATCTGAGTGAAAGTTTACCCCTTTTAAATCATAGTATTCATCAATCGAAGAAAAAAATAAAATCACAAATGCTAACTGGTCAGTGCTAATTTAAAAAAAATTAAATTCAATGCATGGTAGTGCAATGAAATTGTTGAATGATGATGATGATGATACTGATAATATCGTGAGAGCTACTGATTAAGGTCAGTGCACACTACTAGTTTTACTCGATTTCAGTCGTGCTTTCGACACAATTAATTACGATTTGTTACTAAACATGTTACATTATATAGGTTTTTCAGAAAATTCACGAGTGCTAATAGGCAATTATCTCAAGAATAGTCAGCAAAAAGTTGTTTTCGAAGATAAGTGCTCTGAATATTTGAAACTCAAGTCAGGTATCCCGCAGGGATCTATACTGGGGCCTCTTCTGTTTACTATATAGGTACTCCTCTCATCAGGTGACTGGAATGAAAGCCTGCAATATTCATTTATATGCTGATGATACCAAACTTTGCTATAGTTTCCTTCCACATATGATCTTGATCAGTAATGGTCTTGAGGCCTTCGTAAAAGCTGCCAAAGACCATTACCTACTTATTGATCCTGAAAAATCAAAATTTATGTTGTTTGGAAGTAGACTTCAGCGTAAAAAAGTGGAAGACTCTATCAATATTACGGTAAATAATAAAAAGCTGGAAATGGTTGTGGAAGCAAAAAACCTAGGAGTAATTATGGATCCTGACTTGAGATTTGAAAAACATACAAATAGACAATTACAACAGGCGTACTGCAATCTGAAAATGATATATAATAATAGACATTTGTTACCCATTGAAGTTCAAAAATCATTGTGAAACGCTAGTTTCATCAGCCTTAAATTATGATGACTCTCTCTACGGCCCTAATTTAACAACACTCTATAAGAAAAAGATACAGAAACTGCAAAATTTATGTCTGAGATTAATCTACAGTATTAGAAGGTGACAAAGAGTTTCTCATAAATTGAAAGAAATCGGGTAGTTGAATATCGACAATAGAAGAAAACATCATGATGTTGTTCTCTACTATAACAAGTAAACAAGTTCCCTCTTACTTACATAAGAAAATAACTTACCATACAGATGTACATAATCTGAATATTCGAAATAAAGGCCTACTGACTGTACCTCCCTTTAGAACGGAATATTGTAGACGGCCATCTGGCTACTAAATCTATTCTCTGTGCAATCAGGTTCTGAATATCATAAGAAGACAAAATGCTCACAAATTCAAACAATTTTACAAAGAACATCTTCTTGAATCTCAAATTTTATAGAAATAATTTTTTTTCTTTTTCAGTTTTTAGCGAAATGTGTTCTGTTTTTTCTTGAACCATTACACAGGTTTGTTGGGGTCAAGTGGAAGAATATTTTCTGTCGTGTTTACAAAACAGAAAATAAACTTCGCCCTTTATATTATTATTCAATTCATTTGATGATGACATTTATCGATTGGCAACGGATCCAGTCCATGTTAACGTAGATGCCCTGCCAAAAATACTTCAACAGGAAGCCTTGGACAATAAAATTCAACCTTCTGTCAGAACAGCAGTACGGATTTAGGGAGGGAGATCGATAAAGAATGCTATATTCACTGTAACATATCGTCATTTCTCTCTATTCAACAACTATTATCATTATTAGGTATCATTGTTATTATTATGAAGAAAAGAGAAATTGAACTTTTTATTTTTTTTACCACTTTTATTTGTAACTAACTTTACTGCAGTTTCATCCTCTACGGACATTTTCAAACTTATACAATAATTACAATACAATATACAAAAATTATTATATTTCCCTGATTCTTTCATTCTATCTTTTCTGAATTTTGCATTGAATAGAGGAAGTAATTCTGAATATTTTCCGAAAGTTTACCTGAGTATTGTATTCTCTGCTGTTTGGGTATACTTTACTTATAAATGTTTTATGAGTTTCATCTGATATCATTTATATGAGAGAAACTGGGACCTGATTGTTTATTGCAATTTCTTAAATTATTTTTAGTTCATCCTGGAAATTCTTATCAGGTAAAGGAATTGCGAAAGTTTAGTGTATCATTGACCTTAACCTGAATAACTTATGTGAGAGTGGACTTAAAGAGTCGAAGGGAATTGTACAATCTGTGAATGTGTTTTTCCGGTAGATATTGAATTGAAAACCATTAGTGACTCTTGAAATATTCAAATCTGAGAAGTTGAGCGTCTTGTTTTGTTCGATTTCTACACAAGATAAGTAAAGAAAACCCCAAAATCCTACACATGAGTAATGAAGGAAAGAATATGAAATCATTTGTAGCCATGTAAATTAATAAATCAATTTAAAATCATAAATATATACCCCTCAACAAGCAACTCGGTTCATGTAGGTCTCCACTATCGAATTTATAAGTTTGACAATCTTCAGTGATGAATTTTACAGTTTGAACCCTTGTTCATTTGACCAGCCTTCTAGCTTACCTAAAAACTCCCCGTATAACCTAGTTTTCAGATTCCACATGTTAGTTTTATACTTGAAAATGGGGCAAACCCTGAAACCGGTCGTACAAACGAAATAATTATTAGACAAAAGTGTTTTATTCATTCAATTGAAGTGATCATAAATTTCCACAAAATAAACAAGTCATTAACTACTCAAATTACAGAAAAAAACTTGACATTGGTTGTGATATGCGTTGTGCGATCTCTATGGTTGAGCCGTCAAATCCATTGAAACTCATCAGTCACATTCCAATAAGTAGGGAGTACTTACCAAATAAATTGATGGATGTAGCCGTTACTACGTGGTAGGAAATCATAATGAAAAGAGAAATGAAAATTTCTATGTTTTTACCACTTTTATTTGTAACTAACTTTACTGCAGTTTCGTCATATACGAACATTTTCAAACTTATACCATAAACTTTATTGTATAAGTTATACGGATATTTTCAAACTTATACAATAAACTTTATTGTATAAGTTTGAAAATGTCCGTATAGGACAAAACTGCAGTAACGTTAGTTACAAATAAAAGTGGTGAAAAACATAAAAATTTTCATTTCTCCCAAATACTTTTTGTATGATTTTTGTATCACTTCAAAGTTTAATGAGTAATAAAAATACTTGTTTTGCTATTGAATACTCTTCAATTCTGATATGATTATCTGCTGAACAGGAGGATGGAAACGAAACTTTTTTTATATGGTCGAAAAAGGGGCGTGTCCCAAGTTAGGGAACCCCTGGGTTGAACAAATACGTATTTCTACCTCACTCACCTTAAAGTGTGGGAAATGTTCAAAGAAGAACATTATAGGTAAAAAATAATAGTAACCCACTTTCAGAATCTTTTTAATAATTCCAACAGAGGTATTGAAATTCCATTTTCTCTTGATCAGACTTGATCACAGACTAACACGTTAATCGTGAATAATACATTTGTTTTTGAAGAATTACATTAACCTTCAGAACTTACTTATACATTAAACATTCAAGAGATAAATAATGGAGTTAATGAGTTAGTAAATTCTTGATAAAACAAGAGCCTCAAACTTGTTTTGTTGGAAACTGCTATATAAATGGAAAGATACTGAAAACAAAACAGTATAATGTGCCTTGTAAGCTGTTCCGTCAGCTACAATGAAAATAATTGTATTCTTAACAATCTTCAGTATCATAGCCTTCGTCAACTGTCATCGCGGCTTCTTCAGTGGAGGCATCCAGAAGTTGGATACTGCAGAAATCGATGGGGAATTAGAAGAAAATGATTCATTAGTGAGAGGTAAGAATTCGGTATGGAGCTTTTTCAGTTATATGAAATTAATTTGAAGAAAATGGAAACGAAGAATGTAATAGTTTCTTACGAGACCCAACCAGCAAAGTTGTTTTATAATTCCATGGTGTTGCAACAGTTTTATTTTATTAGTATTTTATAATTACTTCCAAAATGCTAATTGATTATATTAGATGATCGGTGAACACAATACAGTTGTAGGCAATAAAAGTGTTTAATAAATTTGTCATAAAAACGTTTATGAAATAAAATTGAAAAACCATTATAAAATAGTCTGGAAATTATCACAGGAACGTTTTTGCAACTAGCTTATAAAACTTATATTCTCATAAAAGTAAATTGTTATGTAGCAGTTTTATAACACTTTTCTGTGAGATTTTTATGATAGTTATAGTTATAAAACTATTTCAAGCTTATTTTATAACTGTTTTCTGTAGCTTTAATGAAATTAATTTATTGGAATGCTTTCAGATACTATTTTATTTTCATTACCATATTGTCACTCCAATGACAATTTCCCAACTATTTTATAGTATGGTATATTAACTACAATTCAAAAATACTTATATAACTGTTATAAAATCAAATTGCTTTTGCTAATATATATTTGCTGCCACCAAGAATAAAGCATTCAAGAACAACCAGCTAACCTCGATTCCTAATCACAGCTTTGAAAAATTCTTCAAAATTTTAGTTATGTTTAGTACGAATATTTTTGTTCAGTTATTGGGACACCATCGATATCGTGGTGGAAATTAATTTCCAGCAACTTCTAAATATTCTATTTTTATTGAGTATAGGTACCCCATAACTGAAATCAATATTTTTAATTCATCCTTAATTTTAGACACTATGATATGCATATATTAGTGTAATATGTTATACTTTCAATTTGATAATAATTCCATTGTGTGGATACTGTAGTGAAGTTGGTGACATATCAATTATATTTTCCTAATGTCCAATACAAAATTACTTCTTGCGTCTTCAAGAAAACATTTTCAACACTTTTTTATTTTATTGTTATCGTTTTCGGCTGTATTATATTTTATAACGCCTACTTGGAACTACTAAACAACTGTAATAAAACTGTCTTCTGATTATTTTATAGTTATCGCTTAAATATGTTGCATTAAGGGAAATCTTTCCAAAACACTTTTTAAGAGTGTTAGACAAATTTTATGGTAACTGCCAAAATGTTTATAAAACTGTTTTGTAGTGTTTGTAAAAGGCCTTACGAAATACTGATAATAACTATAATGTTTTATAAAACGGTGCCAATTTCCTATTTATAGCAGTTTTATAAACGCATCGAAAACATTTCTGGGAGAAATGTAGTTTTATAATTTGTTTCTTCGAAACGTTTCCGCAACTATTATAAAATACGAAATTGCTAGTTGGGGAGTTCTTCGAAGAATATACTATTGAAATTGAACGGCTAACCTAACTTTTGTTCCATACTTCTGCACTAGAAACGAGTTTATGAAGAGGAGAAAAACAGAACAAATTTCAGAAACTTTTTAAGGATTCGTTAGCCCATCGCAAATTAGTGACCTGGTGAAACCCTCATGCAATTTTTGTGAAACTAGCTGGTAGTAAAAGAATAAAGAAAATATGCGGGATAGATTTTTCATCCAAAACACGAAATTCTTAAAACACTTTGAAAGGGCTGACTACGCAGAAGGGGCCGCTCAGTTTGAATTTGATTCATTGCAGGTTGAATTCATTGAAAATATTAGTTTCGAGACGGTTCAATAATATGATTTTATGTAAAGTAAATGTTTTTTCAAAACACACAAGAAGTTTATTCAACGAAGAGTGTGTACCACAAATGGTAGGGTTATTTTGAGTTGGCCAAAACGTTGTTAGCCATACTTTCGCACATATCACCCTCAGAGAAATCAAGCAAGATGAATCCGTCGATTACTTATTATCTATAGAAGACAGGAAAGGTGCGCAGTAAGCGCTTCTTGCTATGGGCTCAGCCTCAATTGACACATTTCTACTTCGTGGTTTACACCAGTCGTGTGCAATCGTAACATGGCTAATAACGCAACCTCCCTAACGTACATGTCCAGAGGGGTCACACCAGTAATTAATTCCATTGCCGCGGTTGATGTTGTTATCATGGCACCTGTGATGTTTAAACAAGCCAATCACTTTAATTGATATGATTTTTGGATGGCCGTTGCTTGTAGAACCTTCGTTCCCCATGCAATGGCTCCATACGTTAACATAGGTCTTATTATTGCAGTGTAGATCCAGGTGACCACACGGGGTGAAAGACCCCTTGCGCGTCCCACTGTCCTCCGACACTGCCCATAAGCCACATATGCTCTTTTTGCTCTAATCTGTAGGTGAGCGTTCCATGTTATGCAGTTTGCATATTTTTGAGTGCTTTGTCCATGAATTTTCCCTGCTTTTGATTATATCATATCCACTTGCTAAATTATCATCTCTATCGCGTACTGGACCCGGTTGTCACGCATGTTGCTGAAGTTGCCCCGTGGTGACTTTAGTGATATCTCTAACCCGAGATAACCTAGATGAGCCAGATGAGCTAGAAACACGAAGACAAAGACAATTGTTGTTTCTGCATTGAGAACAGCTCGAGCACTTTTATCGTTACCTTTTGACAATGTCTACCGAAGTAGTAGACGAAACTTTAGGCATACCTACAGACCACAACCAAGTACCATGAAAAATAAGTTTGGCACAGTTATCCCCGACCATGAAAGTTTACACAATTTGGTCAATAGTAATGAAGTCGATCAAAGGTTTTGACACAGTATAGCAATGCATATAACCCATTAGAAATATTACTACTATAAACAATTTTTGTAACAGGTTTGTAGACACATATTCAGAAATAGTTATTTATGTATCAAGGGAATTAAGAGGGCCTTAATTACCGATGGCAAAGTTTGCGTCCCGAGGGCCTCTGGCCCGAGGGACAGCAATTGCCTGAGGTTATTAAGGCTCATTAATTCCCGTGGTACATAGATAATTTTATTTCTGACCGATTTCAATAAAATTTTGTTCATTTTTGAAACGGAAAAATGTACCAATTCATTACCTTCCCGATATATTTGAATCAGGTACCGTTGATTATAGTAGAGTTTTCTTGTTGCTAGGTTGTTGCTATGTTACTTGTTTATGAACAGAACTTTGTTATCAAGCTGTGTTTGCGGTGAAAACGTGTTTTCTACCCCAAATATAATGGAGGATATTTTGAAAAAAGCTGAACAAGCAAGAGAATCATTAATTCCATCGAAAAGTGAAGCCGTATACCAAAAAGAATACAAGATATATCTGGACTGGCTGACACGGAAAAATGTTATGCCAAAAGATGTCACTGAAACTGTATTTCTGGCATATTTTCTGTAAATAACTATTATTCATTGGAGGTTACAGTCACCTTTAAAAATGAATTATTATCTCAAACACTTTTCAGATATGAAATATATTCAAGGAATAATTAAAAGTTGATGAAGTCATTGAAGCATATCAATTGAAAACAAGTATCTGCATCCTGTCATAAATTAAAGATATAACGAGAATAAAACAGTGTCGTTTGGTTTCTAGGCCATATTGTGAGTCAAAATGAAAATATTTATATTTTTAACAGTAGTTGGTGACTTGGTAGCTAGTCTATTCTTATCCAGGTCACACTGAAGACGTTGAGGGTCATTTATATGATATTATAGAACTCAGTGGAGAAGTGGAAGTTTTAAAATCTAAATACACGCTTTCAAAGAACATCGAACTAAAAAGGTTAAAATATTTTTTTAAATAAATTCAAAACAACAACGAACGAAAAATAATAGTATTATTGTGAAAAAAGCGTGGGCGCTTTGTGCCATATTTTTGTATATCAGGCGCCCGTCGCTTTTTTCACAATTATACTAGTATTTTTCGTTCGTTATTGTTTTAAGCTTATTTAAAGAAAAATATTTTTAACTTTTTAGTTCGATGTTCTTTAAAAGCGTGTTTTTTAGTTTTTTCAAACTATATTTATTCTTGTCAGTAGTGATTTCGACGTATTCTCTTTTTTGATATCTACTGCGGTACGAAGAAAAAGTATGAAACTGAAGATGAAAATACTGCTAACTGTTGAATCGGTAATTGTTTATTCTCCTCCCCATTCATTCATCAAATTATAAAAGGATCCAGATATGCACTTCCTTTCGAAAAGGTGATATCTCTTCATCTTGATCTTCATCTCTTCTTCTTCCACATTTTTTTTCAGAAATAGGCCAAATGAACTGATCACATAGTTATGCAGATTGGCCAATGAAAAAAAGGGGCTTATTTGGAGTGCAGTGACTACTGGTACTGGAGGAATTTTTTGTTTGTTCCTCTTCATGAAAAATAGGTCTCTTTGCGATTTTTTGATTATCATATAAAACAATAATGTAGAGTGTGATCAGTAAAATTCTTGTTATTGACCTCTCATGACTTCAGTAGTTTCTGCTTCACAAAAATTATTATCAAACGCTTTTATTATCGAACTTACACGGAAAATCTACAGAGAGTTTCCGTTAGAAAAAAATATTTACGTGGAATGAAACTGAGAACTGACATTGAATAATTTTGTATATTTTGTGATAAAAAAACCTGCTGATGGTGAGAGCTGATTTCGAATCAACTCATGAAAATTAATCGAATCCACCATATTCGAAAAGATATCAGAGATGATTTCCAACCTCAATTGTAATTATTTCCTGAAGGTGGCTACTTCTTTCGAAAGTTTCGCTGATTTTTTTCCATTTATAGTTTTTGGCATGGGTAAATTCGAAATGTTCGCCAATTACTTGATTACTTTTGTGATGACAGTGCATGTAACTCTTTTTTAATTGTCAGGAGTTAGAGCAGTTTGTGAAGATGACTTTTGCGCAAGATCGTGCAGATTGAACAAAAAAAATGGCGGACGATGTTGGGGAACCGTTTGCGTTTGTAATTAATCCTGAAATATACTTCAACAGATT